TAATAGCAAACATTGTTACTACTAGTAAGGCACTTGTTTCTAAAAGCTAACATTGTTACTACTAGTAAGGCTTTTGTTTCTAATAGCAAACATTGTTACTACTAGTAAGGCTTTTGTTTCTAATGGCAAACATTGTTACTACTAGTAAGGCACTTGTTTCTAATGGCAAAGATTGTTACTAGTAGTAAGGCACTTGTTACTAGTAGCGATGCACTTGTTCCTAGAAGCTTCTTTTTTCCGGTCTAGTTTGCAGCACTGGGGCCTCGTGAGTTCAGCTCGCTCATCGGCAAATCTTTCTCAATGAAGACCGGCCCTCAGAAGGATTCTCAGAAGGATTCCAGAAAACCCATCATGAATTACCATCTGGGACAGCACCCATCCCCAGGCTCATGTGCTTCCGCCCACTCTCCAGGCGTTGGGCTTGGCAAGGTGCCATGGCCTGACTGGGTGCATGTCTTAGAACATCGGTGAAGAGAGACCAATCTGGGATTCCATTAAATTCCTGTCTTAGAACATCTGGAGCTTTGGTTTCCTTTTTGGTCAGTCTTGGCTTTGAGCCTTTTGGATCAGATCGAGTTCCACGGTGCACGTGTGGTCGGAGATGTCTTTTGAACAATGGCCAAGTCGCTCTGGAGCTCTGCTTGGAGGTTCTCAGATCACTTTGAAGAGTGCTTCAAGCCGCCCATGGACAAGGCATTTGGGCTCATTGGTCGAGACACGTACCGGACAAGTAGTTGTCCCACTTTCATAGTCGGCTGCTAGGTTCTGAGTGCATGGATTTCTGGTTTCCCTCCTGCACCCCATCGGTTTTCGCTGCAAAAAGGGATTTCCCCCAAGAGCCTTCCACCTCCGACCCGGTTGCCTCCAGTTGAAGAGCTCCTTGCTGGAGAAGTCCATCAGGCCGGATACTTCGCGTGTTTGATTTCGCGTGCTCGAACCAGCTTGTTGACGCGGGCAAGCTTGAAATCCGGCAAATCTGAGAGAGAGAGAGAGAGAGAGAGCTGTTTGATGGCATTTGATGGCTTACGACAACTTGAGGGGGCTCATGACCGCGGGGTGTGGGGGCAAACACATGAATCTGCCTTCGCTGGGCCCCGTCCACTTCCCTTCGCTGGGCCGGTCTCGGGTCACATCCGACGAGCGTGTCGCGTCTGCAGGCAGCGTGCCAATCTGATCATCCCGGATTCGGCCTCCAACTTTCCGGCTTGGACGGAGTCCCGGTGGATGGGCTGGTCTTTGTTTTGGACTCTCTACTTGAAAAGTCTTGACATCACAGGTGCCAGGTTGGAGCAACATTCTGGTCCTTCTGGTGCTCAAAAGGAATGATTTTGACGGGAACATCCTTGAAGGAGTGCACTTCAAGCGTTAGGAACCGACTCAGCTTCTTGAACTGACACACAACTCCAAAGCCAAGCCAAGTTGACATCCCTAATTTGGCCACATCATCCATAGCCATGGATTCCTGAGAGGTCTTTTGACCACTATCTTGCTTCTTTCTGTGCCTCTACCAGCAATGGCATGACACTGTCAGAGGTTCACTGCTTTGCGGGGTCTCCCTTAACACCCGGCGAAAGCAGGGTTTCGGTTTCAGCGTGCTTTTCTCCTTTTGTCAGGCGACCAAAAGGATGCTGGAGCAGTTGCTCAAAGCAGGCCTTTTCTCGCCCGGGTGTGAAACCTTCGAGAGCAACAAACCCCACCGGTTCAGCCATCCTTGCAAGCACAAAGCAGCAGGTGGCGGTGGGTGAAAGCACCCACCGCCCCGCCGAATTGACAAAACTTCTTTCTGGAGCCGGGGGGTTTGACGGACGGTGCAAAAAACCCATGTCGCCCCAAACCGTCCGTCGTTCTCGTTGAAAGATCTCCAGGCTATCGCCTCCGCTTCGCCGCTGTGTGCCTGCGGGGGCGGGGGCATGACGGTGTGGCCGGTGGACTGAGGTTTTGAGGGCAGGACGGTTTCTAATGAGCTAGCAAAATGAAAAGCTCGCAGTAAGGAAAGTGATGGCAGGGAAAGGTTCTGATGGCTGGCAATAGGGACAAGCTTATGACCAGTGAGGCTTTCAGTGGCAGAAAGTGGTCGGGAAGACTGGCGGTGTGCCCATTGTTGACCCCTGGCATGGGCTTATGGCGGTATAATTAATCCTTATGGGACGGACAGCTCCTTGGTCAATATGTTTCTATAGCTCTGGATGATTTGGATGGCTCAAACCACCTGCTGTTTTCAGGTATGGTGACGAAGAAGAGCTCTTGCGCTGGGTTCACAGATCCGCGTGGTTCCACGTTGCGCGCGGGACACGCAGTTTCACGCGGCCGGGCTCCGGCGCTGGCGAGGTCGTGGTCGAGCTCGAGCATCCCAAGAAGGGAAACAGCCGGCTGCTGAGAGCAAAAACGTCCTGAACAACGACAAAACCGCCATAGACATCGTTGGATTTTGGGTGCTCCTTCTTTTCGTAGCAAAGGCCCTCCTTTAAGCCCTCACACCAGTCCGTAGTTTACATGGCTGGGTAGAATCGGCCAACAAGCAAACATTGCCCCGTCATGCTAGTGACTGGATCAGAGTCCTTCCTAAGGTTCACAGGCAAGAACTGGCGAGCCTCCGTCGAAGCAATCCTCCAGCTGCAGGACTCATCCTCTTCGGTTGGGGGGTGTACTGGCAATCAACGACCATCAACGTCCAGGGACCCCGGCATCCCTATTCGCAACCTTACTGAGCACGGGTGGGGTTAGGACATGCAAAGTATCTTTTGAACGAAAAAGGAGCACATCTTTTTGAAGGAAGACGGGCCTTCAATATTGAAGGCGTAGAGATGTAGACCGTTTCCGCACCCCACCAATGGAAGGGGGAGACTTCCGTTTGCCAGATCCGTCCTTGCCACCTTAGCTCGCTCAAGCGAGCGACTCGAGCGAACGTCGTTCAGTCCAGGACTACTTGGAGACCACGGGCTTGGTCAAAGACTCTGGTCTGGTGACTGCAGTGGCCCGAGAGGCAGCAAATTTCGCTCACCCACAGACCAGAGCTCGTCAAGGGAGCTTGCTATGGCGACTTCGTCCCCCCACTTGCAGATGAAAGAACCTGTGAACATTGGTTCCTCATCGATAAGATGGCAAGAAGAACACCTGGGACCCACCCGCCGCACCTGCACCCGACCCCAGGCGGCGCGCTCGCGTTGCTCGGGGTGGGACATTCGGACGCTGAGGTCCTGGACAACTCGGGCCCTCGCCCCGAGCCCATGAGTCGGAGGCCGAGGACGGAGCGCTCTCCCGGCTTTTTCAAGAACTAGCAGTGGGGTGGTGTGATGCCTTGCGAGTGAGGAGAGTGAGGCTCGAACATCCCGTCTCGGAATGGGCGATCCTGTGACTGCTACCATCAATCTTGAATTCAAGGGCCACTGAACACTCCTCCTTCAGCTTCGTGTCCCCATGCTTTGCGCATGCACTTGTTCCGGAACTTCCTTCGTTGCTCCTGTCAAGTAGGGTTTCCTGCCCATGCCGACCCAGGTCATGCCGATTTGCAAGCCCGCCTCTGTACTCATTGACGGACAGAAAGCACAAACCAAGGCGAGAGCAGAGAGCACGGAGATTGGGAATTTTTGGGTGCGTAAATAAGGACAGCTGTGGATTCCTCTATAAATCAAAGTAATCGAGCTATATATTTACACATATCATACAGCCATTTGGATGTTGGGACAGTTTGGGATGCTGGGAGTCAACATGAGAAACGGTTTCAGACCACACGTGCGATGATGGAAGAACAGGGTAGGGACTTTGAGACGCTCGTCTGGATGCTCCATGCAAATCTTTTTTCACTGTGCCATGTTTTTTTTTTGGCATATTCCCTCAACCTTTTATTTTTAGTTTTGACTTTCTTTCTTTCTTGCTTACTTTCTTACTTTCTTACTTACTTGCTTTTATTGGGAAGAACCTTTGTTGAGCTTCCACTGTTCGCAGGAGAACGTGCTGGCCAAAGAAGACCCACATGACCTTGCTGACGAAGCTGCCCTGAAGAAGCTGATGCACCAGAGAGGCTTTTCTCGCTTTTCAGCGAGTGCAGGAGCTCCTCTATACCTGAGTCCGGGCGTCCGCGAGTTTGTGCTGAAGCTGCTAAGCGGCAAGATTCCTAGTTTCGTCAGGTTTGAACAGGACTGGCGCTTCAGGGAAAATGTTTGCAGAGCCTTTGCCGAGCACCCCATTTTGGATGGAAACAGACTTCCATGCTGGGCTTTGAGATGCTTTCTTCCCGCATGTTAGCAACTCTCAGAACCCTGAAAAGATCGTGGGACATGTCTTTGGAGCATATTCTTTTCCTGGTGACGATAGCACGTACTGCTTCCCTATGAAAGGAGCAATTGACCCTATGGAAGTATGCTACCATATGACGGACGTTACTCTACACCACCTGGACCTGAAGTATATATTACCTACATCCGCAAGCATATTTTCACACCAATATATTCTGTGCAGCAATCTGTCCCGCTGCCCTGACATTTGAAACTGAACATCTTGATCTCTGCCACCCTGTCGCCGTTTTGGCACACAGACCTCGTTCCCACGGGGCTTTGTCTGCTCCGTGTGTGACGTGTTATCTTTTGCGACCGCAGCACGGCAACTGAAAGGCCATCGTGGATGGGGGAGAGGGCCTGGCAGCCAAACCAGGGGGACTGGTGGCTGTGGCTCGGCCGACGAACATGGGAGCCTTCCAGTTGTATCAATTCCATGAGATCCTTCCGTGTGAAACCTGACCACGCGCGCCTGAAACACGCACCTTCGTTGATTGGTTGCCCTTGGAAATTCCCCCCACCTCCACTCGAGCACCCTGGTGCTGATCCCGAAGCCGTGGGCCCCCTCGGGCCCCCCGTTCGCACCGTGCACAGAACCGGAGGGAGGGAGGATCAGACGGATCGATGCCCTGCTCGGTTTCCTGAGACTGATAACAGAATGGCAGTCACTCCATACTTGGGTAGTAGCCGCTGACTGGACGAGAAACCGGAATTGGCTTCTGGTTGACCTGACCAGCAACTGGGGTCGAACTCGCCAAGTAGTTGGAGATCCACGCAAAACCAGCCCAAGTACTTTTCAGTTCTGACCCAAGTCAAAATAGTTTTCGTCCAGTAAGTTCTTCTAACACTCTTTTTCCTTCCAAAAGCCAACACTTCGCCCTCCGAAAAAGACCCCATCCTTCGGAATCTCAGCAGTCCATGGATCTGGCCGCACGACGAAACACCGACCGCACGACCGTTCCAAAAACATCAGAAAGAACAACAGGGCCGCAACACGACCTGCCGCGCTTTTTCTATGTTCTTTTGGCATCACCTCAGAGTGGCCTTTTTTCTTTTCTTTTTCCGGAAAGAGAGTCGCGGTTTGGGTCGCTCGAAGTTCAGTTCTGCAGGTCCCCCCCCATGACATACATGGCCAGGGCCTCACAGGGTGCCGGGTGCCGCACCCCCCGTGCGCGACCATGGTCAGCGGTCGAGATGGTGATTGAACATGTTTTTGTGGATTCTCGTCTTCTCTCAACTTGGTAGTTTCATGTACTGTAATTAATTGTTATTTCGGACTTTCAAGGAGAGCATAGGAAAGCTTAGATTCCTCTATATTCCTCTCTTGAACTGAGCCGTGTGCTGGACCAAAAAGATTGATTCCCCCCGCCCCGTGCCTGTGGCTGTGTTTAGTTTTGTTCAGTTTCTTGTGCCGGGGCAATACTACAATCACCCAGCCAAGAATGTCTTGGACATTTTCTTAGAACCATCTCACTACCAAGGATCATTTCCGAGGATCTCTTGCGCCAAACCCACCATGACTTAAAAGAACATAGAGACTTTCATAAGTTCGGCATGTCTTCTTCTTTGAGAAGTCCAGCTTTCATGGCAAGAAATCCTGACGTGCCATGGTTCCGGGTCATTTTTGCGAGCCAACCGGTTAAAACCAACCGGTGAAAACAATGGTTCGGGTCTCCGAAGGGAATTCCATCTGAAGCGCGCTCCGAGGCTGGTTCCTCCTCATGTGGAGTAATGAATGTCGCTGGACCCAGGGAAGCACCTGGTGCTTGGGAGGGTGGAACTCCAAGAGATGTCAGTATTTTCAGGTGTGCTCATGTTCATGATTTTTTCACTTTCAATTTGGTTTTACAGTCAAAACACTGTCTCACTGGGTACCCACCTGGTACGATGTGCTGATTGCGGGTGGTGGGAGGGGGGTGGAGTCTGACGGGAGTCGGACTCGGGCAGAGCTGCGGAGACTCTGGGCATCGATACCTGTGAGTTGCTCATGAGGGAGCCAGGTTTCATCTGCACGTTACTCTTCGTTCTTTTGTCAGACTTGTTTGGTGGTTTCCTTTGTATGATTGTTTTTTGTGTGCTGGTTTTGTATGGGATTATGACGAAAAGTAATGAGAGATTGTGAGAGGACACTGGTCTTATCCGGTGTTGGTACATACAAGACCAGAATGACCAGAACACACGGAGCAATGGACACAGTGATCGTGAGTAGAATCCATCGTCAATCTATTTTTGAAGGACCATGCCACTAGAATTCGTATGGGTCATGCAAGTGATGCATGACAGTTAGGACGCTACTAGGAGCAAAGTGCATCGCTACTAGGAGCAAGAACGCTACTAGGGGCTCCTGGCCTTACTACTAGGAGCAAGAAGCTAGTAGAAACAATCAGTAAATAGACTTTAATTATTGAGTTTAAATAGTAAATTACTATATATAACAAATAATTAGAATTTCGTTGTTTTATGTTAAACTCAATTAATCATATAGTAGAATTTAATTACTGATTAATACTATTAGAATTTCGTTGTTTATGTTTTAATTGATTATGACAATAATTCTAGTTTAATTATGACATTCTTTTCATTCTTATTTCCAAGGCGCAGGCGCCGGCCGCGGCCTTCTATGTGGCAGCAGGGCCGGCCATGCATGGAAGTCAACTGTTGTCGCTTGGCGCAAAGGTGGAAGGTGGTGCTTGTGTGCGCCAAGGAAGCTCACAAGGCTTGTTGGGAGGGATGTCCTTTTCTTGTTCATCTACTCGCAGATTTTGTGTGAGGCAAACAGATTGTGTTGAATCTCAAAACCCACACAGGTCCTGTCACCATGTGACAGGGCATGGTGCACTGATATTTTTCAAGTGTGAGGCTGCCACATAAATCTCCCCCAACACATCATCTTACTATACCTCTTCCATCCCCTCCTTCTCACCTGTGCATCTGCCCAAAAAACCCGCCCTTCACATCTGGCTCTCCAACGCCCTTCACCCCGTCCTTCGGCGCCGTCCGTGCTTACGGCGCCGTCCTGCCGTCCGTCGTCCGTCGTATCGGCCGCGTGAGGTATCCTCAGCCCATGGGCTTCATGGCCATGGTGGCCCCGCCGATGCCGGATGGCATCATGGCGCAGCCCTGCGGCCGCGAGCTGAGAGAAGACGGAGAAGACCAGACGAGCCTTGGGGGGGGAGCTGGTCGGAGCTGGCAGATTGCTTACTTTTGACATGAACGAACTATGAAGCCAAAGTGATCCAAAGTAAAGCTTCCCAGACCATTTGGCGCCACAGACGAGATGGCGCCCGCTCCGCGACGCGGCCCATGTTCCGCTGTTCCGAACGCGCGGAACGCGCGATGCCGTCGCGGCCATTGAGGCATGATCCCTGCGGCGAAGCCCAAGGCCAAACCCGCCGCACCCAAGAAGCAGAGGCCGACGTGGGGGGAAAAGGGCGTCGTGGTGGTTGCTGCGATGGACACCTTGGACCCTTGGAAGTGACTTCTAGGGAAAAAGGTCAGCAGTGATGGGTGGTCGCTCAGGCAGAGTCAGAGGTCCTGCCAATCCAGGTGGAGTTCTCACACTTCTCATGGCTACTTCTGAAATCGCGGGACCCTTTTCTCGGGATGGAGCATCGAACCCGTCGTCCGAACCGTGAAAATGGCAGGTCGCGGGAAGAGCCCAAAGCGCGGGCAAAGGAGGCCGACGATGAGGAGGCGAGTGAACGACGCGCAGGATTAGGTGGCTAGCGATGTGGCCGACCGGTTGGTGACTCACAAGTGGAGAAAGGTTTTTGGACAGTGAATTTGTGGATGAGGTTCTTTTCTTGACCAATAAGTCAAACATACCTAGAAGTTCTAGAAGGCAGATATTTCCTGCTTTGAAGGTCACAAGGCTTGGTGGAGAAACCGTGAGAAACCTGTGAAACGAGTTGACCCAGACGCCTGAGCTGCCTACCCTACCCTTCAAGAAGCGGATGTCCATCGTGGGTCCAGGCTGCTAGGAAGAGAACGTTATCAGTGCTGATTTGGTGTGTGAGTAGCCGGACTCTTCTTTCGGAGATCGGCCTGTTTTTCGTTCCAAGCTACCAGCCCTTGAAACTGGATGCGTCAAAGTATACAGAATCATCGAGGATAGCTCTGACAAATTTGTCACTTTGGGCCGAACACTCACTCCAAAAGGAGTTGACCTTCATCCATTTTCAGCTTCGAAGGATGTTGGGCCCCCACCTTGCTCCACCCGCCCAGGTCTCAGGCAGAGGGGTGATCTCGTTGCTTCAGGAGCTCCACCGACTTTCGCTTTTTCTTTTCGGAGAACGCGCGGGTTCTCCCCGCGGAGCGGAGCAGGAGTTTGTGCAGTGCTCCAAGAACTTCCCAACCCCTCAGCATCGGCCGATCCTGCAGTACCTTGGAGGGAGGAGATGGAGTTGGAGTGGAGAAAAGGAGTGGGCTGGTGTAAAAGGGACCTTTGGGGGAGGGAACACGCGGTGAAGAAGGGTGGGTTGGTGTGGGGAGTGTGAAAAATGGTTCAGTTGTTGCAGGGGTTCAAGGTTTTTGGGGATGTTTGCCCTTGCATTTCTTTTGGTCAAGTCTGGTGTCACTTGAAGCAGCCTATTTGCAAAGGATACTCAAGAAACTGCAAATCCCGCTCTCCAGCGTGTTTCAGCCAAAAAGGGTCCTTGGTTTAAAGCTTCAAAGGCAAGCCAAAACCTCGAACTCCCTAAAACATGGAGGCAGGTTTTCACCGTTTTTCCAGTTTCCGCGTGCGGTTGTGCGTGGGTGGCGACTGGATCAAGCCTTTTTCCGGCGACGACGAAAACCACCGGGGTGCGACTTGCGGCGAGTCACGAAAACCATGACCTTGCGTCACGTCACCGCCCGGTGCGGCCACCGAGGTGGACATTTGACACCCACATGGCCGACAACACCAACTTAGAATTTCGGGCGCAGGTGGGGAGGGACCTGGTCTTCACGGAAGGACCTGGAGCTAGGGGCTGAGTGGCGTGTGGAGCTGAAGGCAGCCGAAGATGCTTGTGGAGTTGCTTTTTGTCATCACTCTTGGCCCACAAAAGACTCCTTACGCTTCCTGGTCTCACTTCATTAGGCTTCCTGAGTCCATCATGTCCATCCACTTGCTGCTTAAAGATTTTAAACCCCAGTTCCAACGTGGTGGATTTCTGTCGCTCGGTCTTTCTGTCGTGGGGCCGACGGTCCAGGTCTCGTTCCTTTTGGACGGCGTGCCACACCATGTGGCGGGCGCCTGGCAGCAGTCCAAGAAGCTCGCGCAGCGGGACACTGCTGAGCGTTGCCTAGGCTGAACACCCCCGCGCGCTTTTTGCGCGCGGGTGGCCGTGCGAGCCGGTGTGGGCGGAAGATGGAGAAAGGATGGTTTGGGCGGTGCATGAGGAGGGAGAACTTCTCTGGAAGAGAGTTGGTTCAAGAACACCGATGCGTGCTTCGTTGTGGATTTGTGGCAACATTCGGTTCATTCCCACGCAGCAAGTGATTAAAGAGCCATGCGGCCATGACACATATCACGTTCTTTTTTTGGTGTTGTGGGCCGTTGGAGACTCATTTGCATTGCTCCTGTGGCAGGTGACGGTGATCGATCGCCCGAAAAAGTCAGGCCTCCTTGAAGCCTCCCGACAGGTGACGGTGATTGGAGGCTTCCAGCGGTAAAGGCCCAGAAATGCTGGATACATCCACCAAACCAAAAACGAACACGACGTCCACGGATTTATTCACCCCCCACAGATTCCTCCTCCTGCTCCGCCTTCCAACAGGCCTCTTCGTTGGGTGCTGGGGCGCCTATCTACTGCAGACCACCGAGAGCACTGGTCCAGACGTGGACCTCCAAGAGGACCCCGTTCAGGCTCTTCAGAAGCCCCGGGCTGAGGGCGTTGCGCGGGCTGGATGGGTTCAGGTGTTTGGCACTTTTTGGGAAGCTGGGAACCTAGTGGATCCCACTCAGAGGTGGAACCTCAAATTGGAGATTTTCTGTTGCTTGGTTTTGATGAAGCAGCCAGTGACACAGTGGCGATTTGTGGCTTCAAATTGACTCAGGGCAGTAGTGAGAAGTTGAGACATGTGTATAGAAGTCGGGCAAGCGAGTATGGAGGGGTGGGGGGTGAGACGAAGAGACGAAGAGGTTGAATTCATTCCAGTTCCCGTAACATTCTTCCAAGGTCAACTCTCCTTTGGATCTGCAATTCATGCCTGTCTCAGAGGCATTCGGGACTTCCTGTATACTGTAACCATCTTGGGAAGCATTTGTTCCATCATCTCTTGTCCAATCAGAGGGTCCTCTGTCTCTCTCGTTTGACTTCAACCAGAGGTCGTCGTGTGTCCAGTCGAAATCTTCATTCGACTTCTGTGGGTTCATCCCGCCACTCAGCTTCAGGTCCTAGTGGCGATTCCCAACCGCCCGCGGCAAATTCCCAACCGAACGTCCAAAAAACTGAGTTCTTCTGCTTCGACCCTCACCACTTCATCTCAAGATTGACACCTTTTTTCGGGTCCCTAACGAGTTCTGAAAGGTTCCTGTCGATCTTCCACGTTGAAAATGATTCTGCAGAGTCGCTTCCTCCGCTTCCTCCCCAGCTACTTCCATCCGGAATCCAGGGTCAGGACCCTCTCCGCACCCAGGTTCTGCAGCACTTTCCGGCCGTGCCACGGACAGGGCCCGACCTGGTGCATTGATATGGAGGCGGTGGCGACAGTCGTCCTTGGATGTCGTCATGTTTGGAAAGGTGAATGTTAATTCTATATAATATTAGCTTTTTGTTACTACCAGTAAGGCACCTGTTACTACTAGCGTGGCACTTGTTACTACTAGCTTCTTGTTAGGAGAATGATGAGAATGACACGAGTTTTGGAATTGTGCCACATTCGTCCTAATGTTGTTGACTGTAGTAGATAGAGGTTGTGATGCAGTTCATCATGTAGTTGACAGTACATCCCCCCAACAGAACGAGCCGCCCACCCGAACGCGCCCGGGCTTCGTTGAACCGACGCTTCAAGCGCCGCTTGAAACTGCACCTTCTCAGGCCGGACGCTGCAAAGCCACCGCCGAGATCAACCTCCTGGGCGTGAGGCAGGATGGATGAGCTGTGGATGGAAGGGGAGCCGGTTCAACGGCCCCGAAGCTGCCGTTCCACACGACGTCGGGGTCAAAAACTCCGCGACAGCCGACTGCGCGTCCAAATTACTTGTAGTTGAAAGGAACAGGCGCCTTAAACCCATATTCATATACCATTAGCTTAAAATCTCCTATAGGATTCAAGTCTTACTTTGTGATCTCCTATACCCTCCCATCAAACTAGCATAGAAAGGGTAGTGCTTTTGCTTCGTTCTTTTTGCGATCTCCGCGTGGTCGCCTTTTCACCCCCACTCCGCTTGACCACTTCACTCCGCAGTGTCTTGACTCCGCCAGGCACAGTTTCGCTGGTACACCAGCATGCCAGGTTCAGGAAGCCAAGGAGGATACGGCCCGCCGTGGCTAAGCAAGGAGTGCTGGTGAGCAGGAGAAGCAGTGAAGGAGTTTAAGGGGACAGAGCAGGAGTTGAAGAGTTTGGAAGAAGTTTCACTCAAAGCTTGTGCAAGGGACATCATATAAGAAGGTTTGGGCTTGTTACTGTATAATGAAAGAGCTTATATAAATACAATCAACATTGTATGGGCAGCAAACCATACCAATGTGACCCAGACTTGTGACTGGCAAGAACATTTGACCGCCACAGCCACCTTGTCATCATTCAGCTCGAAACCAGGAGCCTCGGAAGGTTACTCTCAAGTTGCAAGTTCAGGGGTTACAGGGCACACCAGAAGCGAAATTCGCTTGCGTTCACTTGAGCTTATTATGTTGGATATGTTTTCACAACAGATCCATGAACCTCCCTCTGAAACCAGCAACGTCTCCACCAGATTTATTCGCCACCCCCAGCAGTTTTCACAAGTCCAAAGAAGGACTTTGACCAAAATTGACGGTGACAGATCTTTGTAAAACCCGACCGCGATGCGGCTCTGAGGTGTCCTATGGTATTTGCAATGCCCCGGTTATGAGACCCTCTTCGAGCCAGATGTGCAGGGAGTGGCTGCTGTGGCCAAGGAGTGCTCCAGAGATAGGGAGAAAACTCGGTGTAGAGATCAGGAGCAGAGGAGTAACGGGTGATCTCAAGCTGCTCAAGAACTGCGTTTGGAGGGTCACTGTTTGGAGCTGCTTTCTGCTTGCGAAACGTGAGTCTTCTCCTGGCTCTGGACAGATGTTTGGACGAAATCCGCCAATCCGCCTGACAAATTGATGAAATGGAGTATCGAGATGTATCGAGCTTCGTATCGCTTTTGGCCAGCAAGACCAGCTTATTCCCCTTTTTGTGATATTTTCAGGTCGAATATTCATACGAAACCATCGATTCCATGGACCTGTCACAAGGTCATTCTCGATGAGAGGTGAAAACAGGTGTCAGCATTTCTGGTCTTTCCCGCGTTCACGTTCCGATTCTTTTCAGCCTCATCCGTGCCAGGAGATTCCCACACCTCCCTCCAATTGGGCGCGGGGTGGAGGTTGGAAGGAAGGTGACCTATCTCCACAAAGCTCTGAAAGACACCAAAGCTCAAAGACTGATTTCTCCACCTAAGATGCGGATGAAGGTGATCGGTCACCCATCCAAACCCTTTGTTCGGTCATGGGGGGCCTGGTCCGTCTCTTTTCTTCGGTTTTGTGGCGAGATCGGAGCTGAAGGAGCCGAAAAGGTGGATGAGAAGGACCTCTAAGGAGTATACTGTATACTGTATACTGGGCGGTGCATTTGAAAGACGAACACATGGTGGACTTGGGAAGTTGCCCAGCTCGGCTTAAAAGGGGTCCACAGTCCCTGACGTACGGGGAAAAAGGAAAAAGGTTCAGCCATGTGATGTGTCCTAAACCCACTGAGCAAAGAAGCTCTGATGTGAATGAGTCTTATTGTCTTGCCGAAGAGGCTTTCCCATGGCGCCTCATCCACATTTGGGCTGGGGCTTGCTGACACAGACTTCGATAGAAGGAATTTCCAAGGAAGCAAAGTCTCATGCAGATAGAGATGCGATGCCAAAGTATGGTTCAAAGGGATTCACCTGAAAAAAGAGACATGGTCTTTCGCCAAATCATGTCCTTTTGATTGACCTAGAATAACTTTTCAAGCCCTTGAACATGCTGGAGGTTGAGACAGCGTTGACCCAATCTTGTTCTGGCCGTTGACCATCATCACTGGGGGGCCAAAGCACGGTGCAGGTGACTCTCAGCGAGGATGATGAGTCAGCTCGGGTGCTTAGGAATGCTGTGGTGAACATCCCTCCTTATAGATCCGAAAAATTGCATTTTGGACCCAGAAACACAAAACCAACTCATGTTTCCCCCGCTCCTGCCGCGCTGGGACAGGGCTGTCTAATTTTGGAGTTCAACGGAGTATTTCGTGGGGGGGGGGGTACAGATCCACTGTGCACTGGAGAGTTCGGTGTGCGGATCTGATAGTTTTGGACCATTTTGGATTCGGATGCCTCTGAGATTTCAGGAGAATGGGTCTTTTCTTTTCTCGCTTTTCATTTGGATGTTTCGTTTGCAACATGAGCCGCCTCAAAGAACCTCCAAGGATGCCACCTCTTGACATGAGGGTTGAAACAGACAAATGGACATGGCAAACCAAACTACCTTGAGAAGGATCTGGTGGGTGCACAGAATCAGAGTTTCAGTTTCAATCAGTTCAAGCAATAGCGGGCTTAGGGAGAGAAGTCAAGGCAGACCATGCCCAGTTGAAGCGTGTCTTCTTGCCACTCCACCAAGCAGCTTGTAAGACCGGGAACGAACATCTAGGAAGGCGCCAGCTTAGCTCAGCAGGAAGTTGAGTGTAGCCAGACCTCCCATTTGCCACTTAGCGACGACGCACCAGCTCCTGCGCATTTTCCAGGTCCAGGCTGCAGAACGAAAGACTGCGGTGATGCGACTACAGAACCGCCTGCAGCAGAGCTTCGCTAAGAAGCTGAAGCCCGGACAAGGCGCAGAGCGGTCCAATCACCCGCAGCAGAGTGGTTTGCGACGAATGCTGAGTTCGCTTGTTGAGTTCTGGGTGTTTCTTGGCCTTGCAGCCTCCCGTTCTGCCTGCAAGCCGTGGTATTTTTTACGTTTTTGTAGCATACAGCATACATGTCATGCACTGAACCATATCATATTGGGCCTTCTCACCCTGCAGATGGGATTTCGTGACCGAATTCTTACCGACTTCGATGATCCTCATCCTTTCCATGTTTCAACCAACCGCTCACCGCTCCCCCCTCCAAGCTCCACCCGACCCTTCTCTTCTCTCCGCTCCACCCTTCTCTTCTCTCTCGCTGTAGAAAGCTGCCAGCTGCTTGGCAGGTGTATGGGAATGGTCTTATGAGACCGATGCTCGGGATGAGAGCTGGCCACCCCTGCAGCGAGCCACCGTTCACGTCCCCGTGGCGCAGCAGTCCTTCACCGGGCGCGGGCGGAGGGGTAAGGGGTGAAGGGGGTCTTTCTTGGTTTGTTTTGGATGGACAAAAGGATAAAAAGGTTGGAGAAGCTTTTTCATCATTTTTTGTTGTGTTGCTTGGAACGGCATGGAAGTTCCCAAGTGGGTTGAGATTCGCACCCTTGGCAGACGGATGTTTCAGGAGGTTCGGTTCCCCAAAAATACACGAGTGGACTGCACACGAGTGGATCTGCCCCTCACCAAGACTTCATCAGGTTGGCATAGAGTGATCCTCAAGAACATGGGAACTTGCAAAAAAGCCACCAGACCTAACTCCTTCTCCCTTGGTTTTTCTCACATTCTCTCACACTCATGAGCCGCTCAGGCCAGTAAACATTTAGCCTTCACTCTGAATGGCCCACTTTTCTGTGTCCGACCTGACTGGCCCACAGCGACCAGCAGATGCCGAAAAAAGGGCTTTGGCTTATGCCTTATGCTCGGGTCTCCCATCTTCACGTCCCGACAGGCCCTGGAAACGGGGCCAGAGGGAGGCTCAGCTGGAGGCGCAGAACGGTTTTTTCCGTTGAAGCACTGCAAAGGTGGGTTTCTCAGCCTTTCCACCTCCAAAGACACTGCAAAGAGTGAGACTCCTCTAACTCCGGCTTCAAACATAATATTTTCGGAAGACTCATCGAAGCAAGGATGTTTGTGGAGGACATATCCGAAGCCTTGACTGGGGAAGAGAGTAAGAACATCACGAGTTTTTCTTGGTGGGCTTGGATCTTGGGACTTCCCCAATGACTGGATTTGCAAGGGAGTTTCCTGGGTTTCCTTCGTTTTGCTTGGAGCCGTAGACCACCTGGGATGGGTGTCACAAGCAGTTCCTCGCAAGTGCTTTGCCCAGAGGCCTGCCAATTGCTGCAGACCTTTCTTGATTCTTTGGAGCGGCCCGAGGACGATGGTTGTGGCGACACATGGATTGTGTGTTTGGAACAGAGAACTGACACTCCCCATGAACCGACACGCTTAAACAAGAACTCAAGGAACCAAGATCACAAGAAACCTTGCTCCTGCTGCACCTGCTTCTGTTTAGTTTTGCATTGTTTCATTTGTTTGGGTCCTTTTGGGTCACTTTCTTGGCCAAAAACTGGACGGAACCGTAGACCCCCCACCCTTGCGAGCCAGGACACCGCATGCGGAGCCAGCCGGTAAATCGCGTTTCAGCTGTGTGCCGATTGTCAGACCGGGAGAAGGGTCTGGTGAGGGATCCAGGGTGTGGAGACTACTAGCGATGGCCTCCAACCTACTAGCGATGGCCTCCATCTAGCCTGTGCACACCGTGCGGCGACATGACGTCTGTGATGTCGCTGTGCCATGCTGTTTGGCGCGCGGTGGAAAGTGCGCTTGCGTGAGTCAGTGCCAATGGGGGAAGGAAAACGTGCTGGTGTAATTCCGCGCGTCGCTGGGGAGCGGGATGATTCGCGGTGTCCACGAGGCTTGTGGTATTATCGGTTCTGTTTTGGTGATGGTTCGCTGGCGTTTTGCGGAGTGTCTCGCTCATCTTTTGGTTGCGTCTCGGTCTCAGTCTTGGTGTGTGTGCAAACGGTGTGCTTGCATGTCCATTGCGCACGTGAATGTAAAACCTTTACGTGGCGGCAAAAAATGCTTCGCTTGACACGAGCATCCCCTGTACCATTCATGTGTAAACTTTTTGTTGGCGAGGAATACATGTCTGCCTAATGTAGAGAACTGCCTTTTGACAAGCATTCGTTTCGTTGTTGTGTTTAAACTACCCGCGTGAGTCCAAACCCGTAACTCTTAAGTTATGGTCTCTTTGCCGTCTGCCTTCGCAGTACCTGTCGTGCAATTCGTGGTAGTATGCTGATTATTGTTGTCATTTGTTCAGACTTGATGTCCTATGATGTTCTTTGTCTTTGAGACGTCTCACTCTTTGTCCCTGTGGAGGTTTCGTGCGTCCTTTTCCAAACACCTATTGGTAAATGTTTTTTCGCTGGCACTGGAATTCTTTAGTTGCCTATATTGTTGCGCGGAGAATGTTTTTGGGTGTAAAAACTGTGCGGGTGCGCATTCCTTAACTGGTTCGTGGTCTATGAAAACTACATGTTTGGAATAACCTTTGCGATTGCATTTCAAAAAACTCTGGGCTTGGTGGAATTTGTTCTCATTTCTTCTCGGCGTGTAAATAAAAACTGCTGGTTTGACACTCCGTTTCTTGCATCGTTCGTGCATATGTCGTGCTTCGCCACAGCATTACTCAATCTATTTCCATACCAAAGTTGGTCCCGCAGAGTATCCACTGCACCTACTGCCGAGAATTCCACGCCAAAAATGGCGCAGGGCCAAACATCGCTTCCTGACGTACGTAGGTGCCCAAAAACCCCCGCCCACACCCATGTCGAACGCAAGGTGTCAATAACCACGTTGGACATTCGCCACAGCGCAGTGTCCTCAAGCGCGTGGATATTCGATATGTGAAAGAACAATGCAACGAGGCAGCCACGCAGAAAAGATGCGCCAGATCTTGGTGGATGTTTTTCTATTGGGGTTGTCAGTTGGGTTAATTTTCGACACCAAGTTTCAGCATGAATGACGTTGATTTTGGTCTGCTTTTTAAACCGTTGACAAGTTCAGAAGGCTTCAAGCTCATATGGCTTTCCGCCTGTTGTAGTGGACTGGTGATTCACTCATTGACACTACCCTGTGGTCAGTGGCAATTGTTCAATTGGGGGTGTAGTAAAGAAGTTACTCTATATAAATATGATATTTTTGACACGTTTTTTCTAAATATATATCATATCAAACATTGAAGAAATTCATCTTGGCATTGCGCATATCTGCGATCATCCACCTCTGGGCTGTTGCGGTCCCAAAAACGTCGTGTGGTGCGCTTGGCTGCGCTAAGGTGCAAGCCAGATGTTGGCCAGCCAAGATCTGTGTTGAGCGGTATTCTTCGTCTCAGCTCGGCCAGCTACTGGGACTGAAGGTGTTTTGGTTAAGGAAACCTGCGGCTGACTCACTGGAATCCAACTGGAACTGAAAAGCTTCAACAGGCAACTGATGGGGAGACGATTGGAACTTCAGAACTGGGGGTCCAACGACCTGTTTCCTTCTGAACTTGTGGCTTGAATGGCTTTCCAACGACCTGGTGGTCCCCCGTTCAAGAATCAGAGATGCGAAGTTCTCTCCTCGGCCTTTTGTTATCTCTCAGATTCTCGCCTTTCGTCCTCCTGTTTGCCCAACCCGAGCCAAACAACACCAGTCACCGCATCGAAGCTTCTCAACCCCGAGTTCAACCCAACTCCTATTCGAGGACGAATCGGTGTGGTCGGTCTGGTGGTTCGCCCCAAGGACCGTCTAGACGCCTGTGGTCTCAGAAGACCCACAGGACCCGGCGAGCCGGGAAGATTTACAGCCGAAGGAGTCGGTGTGGGGAGGCTGGGGGGAAAACGAGAATCCAAGTCTTGTTGAAGGAAGAAAAGCTCAAGTGGAGTAGCTTCAAGTGTTTCTTTTTTCAGAACCATTCAATTGGCACTCTTTTTTCTTGGAATAGACCATTCTGGATTATGTGGACCTAGATTTCCCCCTGCAAACATCCAGACCGACTCCGTGCGTGTCTCCATGGCATGACCTGGAAACTGCTCAGGACTGGCAACGATGAGATGAAACTCATTCAGAGGCGCGAACTCCGAATCTCATGAGTGCGTCCTTTTTCACGGTGTGGCTGGACAGACCTCCACACGGTTGGAGGAGCTTCCTTTGGAGATGGAGACGGACAAGTCCGAACGTTCTGTTTCCTTTTTGGGTCGAAAACTACTCACTAGATTCATTCAGAGTCTAGAATACTAGTTCCTGTTGGTGGAGCTGGTCTTCAGATGCACGAATCTTCGCAGCGGCGTCAGGAGACTCAGTTTTGTCCCCTTAGTCAGGCGCGGAAGGGCGGGGGCATGCAAGCTCTGCAGGCTGCATGAAAAATCAGAGGGGCTGGATCTTCACAACGGACCGGAACCGGAATTCCAGCACTCTGAAGGTCCTTCTCATTGCCTTGTATGCTCTTCCAAAATGCTAGGGCTTTGGTGCTTCTTTGGCTTCCACGAAGCCCTTGTCATTCAAGGGTCCTGAACTGCTGCTGATCTGGGAACATGAAAACTACAGATCAAACGTTCGCAAAAGAGTCACAACGGGCAGCCCTTTCCGCAGGATCCTCAGAATCCTTTCAAGTACACGGTGTCAAATTCACCAGTCGAAAGAGTGTAGCTTCGAGTCGACTCGAGCCTCAATGTGCGAAAGGTTTCTTTGAACAAATCGCTCTGCCTAGGCTTGAAGGCCATCGCTTCTAGGTTGGAGGCCATTGCTTTTAGGTTGGAGGCCATCGCTTCTAGGTTGGAGGCCATTGCTTTTAGGTTGGAGGCCATCTCTTCTAGGTTGGAGGCCTCGCTATTAGGCTAGGTTAGCTTCTATTATTTTTTGATTCCCATGGATTCCTTTCGAAGCGGGAGCCCTTCGGAGACCGGTCAGGTTGGGACTGTGGGGATCAATTCGGCGTTGGTCTTAGGCCCGTGGGCATCAGTTGCCAATGTAAAGCTGGGAGTGCTTTGTGTGGACTTTCCGATCAAGCTGCTGCCGGGCTGACCTTGGTCTGAAAGAAGCTTGGGTTTTCAATCTTTTCGGTTTCTTTGAGGCTGCAAAAGATGGACAGACTGGATTCTTTCTCACTTTTGGTCAATGAACCCTTCCCATAATTGTGTGCAAAAATAGTTCTATTCATCATCAGTGGCTCTTCCTGGGTTTCTGGCACTCTGAGAGGCCTGAACATGCTTGATAAGCATGCTTGATATAAGCATGCTTGATAAGTAGATTTGACTGGATTTGGACTGACCAACAGCTCGCTGGACATACAGAATTGACCAGAGATCACAAGTGCGAAACGTGATACTTCTTTTGAGGGCATCTGATTCCATGAGCTCGTAGATAAAATGGAATCGACCTATGAGCAACGAACCACTTGGCATACGTCTCCAAGCCCCTCCAAATAAATCCAACCCTGAAACTCTACCAGCAGTGGCTAGCGGGTACTTAGTATGCCCTTCTCCTGCGGAGCTCGGTATCATTTCGATCTTTCTTTCTTTCTTTCTTTCTTTTTCTTTATCTCTCTCTCTCTATACGCGACCTATGGGGTTCAAGTGCGACCTTGTGACACCCATACATTGCCTTTTACTTTTTTGGACTCTTCAGAAACACAGGGCGAGGGTTCCGTAATCCTTTGGGCTTACAGCCTTCCGGGAGCTGGGTGATGAGCGGCCTGCAAAAAGTGCAGGGAGGCACCGGGAGTCTCAGGCGACTCCTGGTGCCTCGCCTGCAGCGCGGTCGAAGTGATCGCTGCGGAACTGCGTGCGAGGTGGGGATCGCACGAAGGCTGACTTCCTAGATCAGTCGAAAGCCCTGAAGACACTTCGAGTGCTCTCGCTGCGCCTCAGGTCTGAGGGTGAAGACCTGACAGGTGCTCGGACTTGCATTGCAGGAGGTGGAGGAGAGCAGGTTGGTGCAACCGCGAAGATCAAGGCCAAGCCGCCAGTGAAGACCCTACCTGTTGAGGCACCAGCAACGGCCAGAAGCAGCGAAAAGGATGACGAAGAACGCTACGAGGAGGAATCGGAGTACTCCTACCTTTCGTCTGAGGAGCCCGAGGCTGAGACTTGGCAGGAGGCAGTTGAATCGAAGGCCGATCTGCGCAAGTCGAGCGCTGGCCATATAGGTCAAAGGAGGAGAAGAAGGTTGAGAAGAAGCGGAAAGCCCCAAAAGAAGATCGAGGATCAGCTCATTCATCAAAGGCCAAGAAGAAGGATCAGGCAAGAGTCGACGCAGAGGAAGACGAGGCGGAGCTAAGCACCAGCAGGTGTTCAGGCAGAAGCACGATCCCAGTATACGAGTCCATCGCAAAAAGAGTGTGCAGCAACTCGCTGAGCTCAAGGAGAAGAAGGAGCCTCCCTTGCTTCCTGAAAGTAAGCGATGGCGACAATGAGGAGTATCTTTCTGGAATAGGCCGAAGGGGATTCGCTCTCCCTTCAAGACGGCCCCGAGTGGCATATGCTGACTCCCTCTCGTGGGGACGTCGCAGTTGTGGAGTTGAGAGACACAGACATTGGAGGAGAAGCAGAGGACTTTGTTGCCTTTCTTGTGTTGAGCCCTTACAGGTAAAGTTGATAGGAGCTTCGAATGTGGAGGCCACCCGTCGGTTTTCAAGCTGGCTCAATCCAAGGTCAAATTCTTCACCCACGACAACTTCGAAGCTCCGTTCTATGGGCCGCAGCAGAGAAGGCAGGTTGCCAGGTGGTTGAACGAGACCGAGGCGACCAAAGGAGAGGAAGCCACCCCTTGGCCAAGGGAGTACAACCCCGCCGCAAAGCTCAAGAAGAAGGCCAGGAGAGTGGAGGAACAGGAAGAGGATCTTGCGGAGGATTTGAGGCTAGGAGATACAGAAGGGTTGTCAGAAGGCCGCTCAAAAGATTTGAGGGAGAAGTTGGATGAGCTTCGAGAACGGCTAGGAGGAGCCCCCTACTTTGACGTCGGGGACCAGTTTGAGGAAGAAGAGAGAAGAGGTTCCGGGTACAAGCGGTACTTCTTCGAAGAACATCTCAGCCGGCGAATCAGGCACAGATGGTGCCAAAACGAGGTGGAGGCCAGATGAGGAGCAGTGCTGGAGGAGAGGAGAGAGCTTCGGGCGACGAGATCTTCAACTTGTTTCAGGGCCATATCCGAGCGCTCGAGCGCTGCATCCCCGGGAGGAGGACAAGCCCCGGAAGGAGGAGACGACAAGAAGAAAAAGCCGCAAGAAAGACAAGAAGAAGGAGGGCGGCTCAAAGAAAAAGAAAAAGAAGAAGTTGGTGAACGGCGTGATCGTCTCCACCTCCAGCTAGGAAAGTTCGCCCAGCAGTTCAAGCGACAGCGAGACCGAGGAGTTCGAAGCGCCGTTGAGAGAGCGTCTTAAGGCTGTTGGTATTGAGGGCTCAAAATGCATTGGATCAAACAGCATTGGTTGAAGGAAACGCAGGAGGAGATGGGATCGTGGGAGGAGTGAAGCTGGTGACTCACCTACTTCCACTTAGACCAGTTGAGGGCAGGCCAGATCGCAAAAGCTGCAGACAGCTTGGCAGGCCACTTCTTGGCCTGTCACCAAATCTCGAGGTGGCAAACACCGAAGATCATGCGGCCACCAGCGCCTCCACACTTCAGCCTCCATGAAAGTGGAAGCCCCCGAGGCATGGTACCCATACAGGGAACCAAGGAGAAGGAAAGGGAAAGGGCTGGTGGCAACAGGAGAAAGGAAAAGGCAAACGCAAGAAAGGCAAGAACAAGGAGAAGGAGAAAGGCGATCGAGGTAAAGAAGGAAAAGGAAAGCAGGCTTAGAAGGAATCCCAAGACAAAGGGGAGAAAGATGCTTGAAGAAGAGGAAGAGAGGAGTAGTTGAGAGGGACGTGACTGTAAGTCCTCCTGAAGAGGCAGGGGGCGAGGCGCGAACGTTTGAAGCAGTTGAGATTCCTAGAGGATCTGAGGAGAGGCTTTTTCAGGCCAGAGGGGCCGTTGTCGTGACAGAGAAGGTCCCTCCACGTGATCCGGCGGGAGACGAGGACTTGTTGAGAGAAGAATTCAAATCGGGCCACGACATCATTCTTGCGGTTGGCAACCAGCTTGCAGACTTGCACATCGCATGGGTGATAGCAAGGGCTGGAACGGTAGCGCTGCTTTGGCATGGGTCGCCTTGAATTCCCTTGCTGGCCACTGCAGGCCGCTGGAAAGAGGCAGATGAAGCGCGATCGAGCGGAGGCATAGGGACAACCCGCGCCGCAGTGAAACGGCTGCTTCAGATCCCGTCAGGACCCTTGGAGGACCGAGTTGCTGCGGGCTCGAGTATAGGATACGACGGTGAGGAGCTTGGGAATTGCGAGGCCCTAACCTTGGAACAAATCACTCCTGCTCTTCCCCCTGTTGAGCACGGAGGGGCAATCCGCTTGGAAAGTGTTTTTTCCCTTGAAACCAGTGACCTGCTTTGGGACCCGGCCGCGTTGCTTCGTGAGGATTTTGCAAAACCGGTTCCTCGTATTTCTGCCAATGTTCATTTTGGAAAGGGTGAGAAGCTTTCGGTGTGTTCTGAGTTGGTTAAACGAGGAGTTTGCACCTGGATCAAGAGTGAGCAGGTGGTGACCTTTAAAGGAGTCCGTATTCTGAACGTGTTGTTCGGAGTTAAGAAACCCAGTTTGTTGCCCGATGGCAGGCCGGTTCTACGGCTAATCATGAATTTAAAGCCAAGTAACTCTATTCTTCGGCAGGTGAGAGGTGCAGTGTCAGCGAATGAGTCAATCGGATATGTCGAGCGCTTTCTACCTTTTCCGTTTACCTGCCCAGTGGCAACCCTACTTGAGCTTCAACGTCCACTCCGATGGCCAAGAGATTGGGCTTGTGCAGTGCTCCCGATGGGTTGGAGCAGCAGCGTCACATTGATGCAAGAAATGTCGGAGCGGATCCTGTGGTATGCAGGACTCACAATGGACAACCAAATTCGTAGAGGCAGTGCTGTCCCACACATCTTCACGCATTGCACACAGGAGGCATTGGAACAGGGCAGGACCTTCTGGCAAGTCTATTTAGATAATTTTATGGGCGGAGACTAATTTGTGGATGGCGCTGAACCAGTCCTGGGTTCGCGACAACATGAAAACTGCTGAAAGAGCCTGGGCCACCGTTGGTATCATTTCCTTGGATAAGAAGAGGGTGTCCACTGCTATAGGTGTTGAGGAGCTAGGAGCTTTGGTTGATGGTCGTCTAGGATACCTAGGTGGGTCAAGCAGAAGGTTCGGCAAGCTAGTGCAGGCCGCATGCAGGTTTTGGCCGGTCGCTGGATTCATGTACTTCAGTTTCGTCGTCCTGGAATAGGGTTCCTTGAAAATTTGGGGCTTCATCAACCCAAAGAAGGGCATGCCCAGCTTTGGCTCTGAAATCCAAACGAATGGTTCATGGTCATGTGTGCAATCCCCCTGTTACACACCTCACCGACTGCGACGGTGGACCAGGCGTTTTGGTGCAGTGATGCTTCAGAAACTGGGGGAGGCATTGCGCCCGCGTGCAAGGAAACTTAGTGAGCAAGGTAAAGATTTCTCTCTGTCAGCTAGGTTGGCTAGCTGGCGTGTTGGAACCTGTCCGATTCTAATCGTTGCCCTGTTTTCGGGAATCGTTGCCCTGTTTTATCCTGGACATCATTCCTCGGAGAGCAATCGCAGTTGACATCCATAAGCCCGCCGACCGGGTGGTGAGCCGTAGATGGTCAGGGGTGAAGATCTTGCGTGACGTTAAAGATATCACTAGAGACACTGTCCGAGAGTGGGCTTTGAACTTTGGACCGTCATACAGTCAGTGAGATCCATCTCTGGGGAGGGTTCCCCTGTCGAGACTTGAGCTCAGCAAAAGGCCAATAGGGCGAACCTAGAGGGGCGTGACAGTGGCCTCTTCTTTGAGTTCATTCGCGTTTGGCAGCTCTTGGAGGAAGAGTTCCCGAAACTACCAAGGTCAAGACCGCAGCAGAGAACGTTGCATCAATGGACGAGGATGCGGCAGTGGAGATTTGACAGCGGATGGGGGTGCGACCCTAC